AGGGCCACCCACCCACAAAACCTACCCTAAGTCAGGATCTCAGAGGTGGGATGCAAGTGTGCTTCTTGCTTAAAGCTTCGTAGTCGGGAAGCTTCCATCTGCTTGAGAGCCCCCAGAACTATTACAGTGTCTCTCTCTGTGTGTCGTCCTACCTGTAATTTCTTCTGAGCTTTGTGTGAATTTTTGGAATTTCCCACAATGAGCAAGTGTTACTTTTTAATGAGAACAATATTTTTTCTTTTTAAATTACCTTGCAGTGTTTTTCCAGAGTTTCATTGAGGTATAATTGGCATAAACTGCATATTTAAAAAATACAATTTGGTAAGTTTTGAGCTCCGTTTACATGCGCACAGCTCTCACCACAGGGAGGGTAATGAGCCTGCCCACCGCCCTCCCCGTTTCCTGGTGCCCTTGGTAATCCCACCTTCCCCGAAGCCTTTGCCCTATCCCACCCTCAGGCAACCACTGATATGCGCTCTGCCGCTATGGGTTAGTTTGCATTTTCTAGGATTTTACAAAAATCATAAGATATGTACTTTTTTGTCTAGCTTATTTCATTCACCGTAACTATTTTGAGGTTCATCCGTGTTTGTTGAGTTTATCAGTAGGTCGTTCCTTTTCATGGCTAAGTAGTAATGGGTTGTGTGGATAAACCACAACTTGTGTGTCCATCCAACTGTTGATGGCACTTGGGTTGTTTCCAGTCTTTTACTGCTACAAAGGAAGCTGCTGAGAACATTCATGTACAAGCCTTTGGATGGACATCCCCTTCTATTTCTCTTAGGTAAATACCTAGGGGTATGAAGGGTGGGTCTTAAGACAGGCGCAGGTTGTATTTTTCAGAACACTGTCACACCTTTCCAAAGTGGTTTGCCCCTTTACACTCCCACTGGTGCTGTGTGAGGCTCCTGTTCCTCCTCATCCTTGCCAGCACTGAGTACGGAGCCATGCCAAGCTTTCTGACAGGTGTGTAGGGTGTTTCCTTGTGGTTTTAATTTGCATTTCCCCGATGACCAAGGAAGTTGAGCATCTTTTCATGTGCTATTTTGTTATCTGTATGTCTTCTTCAATAAACTGTTCAAAACTTTTCTCATTTCTTAGCAAGTTGTTTAATTTCTTACTGAGTTTGAGAGTTACTTATGTATTCTGGTTATAAGATCTTTATCAGATATATGATTTGAAAATGTTTTTCTTTCCATTCTCTTAACCTTATGTCTTTCAGAGACCAAATAATTCTAGTTTTGATAAAATCATATTTACCAACTTTTCTGTTAAGTCACGGTTTTGATGTTATATCTAAAAAATGTTTGCCTAAGTCAGTGTCACAAAGATTTTCTCCTGTGTTGTATTCTTAAAAAATTTACAGTTCCAGTGTTTAAATTTTGCACTATATTCCATTTTGAGCTAATTTTTGTGTAGGATGTGTGGTATGAATTGAAGTTCTTTTTTTTTTTTTTTAACATATAACTTATCCAATTGACCCAGCACCATCTATTGAAAAATTCATCCTTTCTCCACTGAGTTCTTTTGCACCTTTATTAAAAATCAGTTTGCATGTATACGTGGAGGTCTGTTTCTGGATGCTAGTGTCTTCCATTGATCTTTTTGTCAGTCCTTTTTTTTTTTTTCTTTTTAACCAGAGAGAGAGACAGTGAGCCCAAACAGGGGGAATGGCAGGCAGCGGGAGAAGCAGGCTCCCCGCTGAGCAAGGAGCCCGATGTGGGAGTCGATCTTGGGACCTTAGGATCATGACCTGAGCTGAAGGCAGCCAGGATCCACTACTGTCTTTTTTAAAAAATTTTATTTCTATTTTATTTCAGTTCAATTAATTAAGATATAGTATATTATTAGTTTCAGAGGTAGAGTTTAGTGATTCATCAGTTGTGTATAACACCCAGTGCTCACTACAGCACGTGCCCTCCTTGATGCCTGTCACCCAGTTACCCCCTCCCCCCACCCTCCTCCCCTCCAGCAACCCTCAGTTTGTTTCCTAGAGGTAACAGGTTTGTCTTATGGTTTGTCTCCCTCTTTGATTTCATCTTATTTTATTTTCCCCTTCCTTCCCCTATGATTCTGTTTTGTTTCTTAAATTCCACATATGTGTGAAATATATGGTATTTGTCTTTCTCTGACTGACTTATTTGCTTAGCGTAATACCTTCTAGTTCATCCATGTCCTTGCAAATGGCAAAATTTATTTTTTTTTTGATGGCTAAGTAGTATTCCATTGTATATATGGACCACATCTTCTTTATCCATTCATCTGTCGATGGGCATCTTGGCTCTTTCCACAGTTTGGCTATTGTGGACATTGCTGCTATAAACATCGGGGTGCACTTACCCCTTTGGATCCCTACATTTGTATCTTTGGGGTAAATACCCAGTAATGCAATTGCTGGATCGTAGTGTAGGTCTATTTTTAACTTTTTGAGGAAACTCCATGCTGTTTGTCTTGATGCCAGTATCACACTGTCACGATTACTGGTCTTATAAGTTTTGAAATCAGGTGGAATTAGTCCTCCAACTTTGTACTTCTTTCTCAAAGTTGTTTTGGCTACATACGTCCTTTTTGCATTTCACAGCAATTTTAAAGATTTTATTTGAGAGAGCGAGAGAGAGCATGAGTGAGGTGAGGAGCAGAGGGAGAGGAACCAGCAGACTCTGCTTGGTGCTGAGCACGGAGCCCGACACGGGGCTTGATACCCTGAGACCATGACCTGAGCTGAAATCAAGAGTCGAATGCTAACTGACTGTGCCCCCCAGGCGCCCCCAGAGCAATTTTATAATCAGTGTATCAACTTCTGCATGAAACCCTGTTTGGATGTTGACTAAGTTTGCATGGAATATGTCGATCGATTTGGGGGAGAACTGACGTCTTAAGGACTTTGAATCTCCCGGGGGACGAGCACAGACGCCTGCCCACTTCTTCAGGCTCTCATTTTGCTCAGCATGCTCTGCACTTTACAGTGAGCATAGCTTACACATCTTTTGTCAGGTTTATCTTTAAGTGTTTTGTATTTTTGATGCTGCTTTAAATGTTATATTTCTGTTTCAGTCTCCAGGTGTTCCTTGCTGATATAGAGAGAGATTAGTTCTAATAGCTTTTATAAATTTCGTTGAATTTTCTTTATAGATGGTCAAGTTGTTTATGTTTTAGTTATTCCTTATAGTCCAGATGCCTTTGATTTCTTCCTTGCCCCACAGCACCCAGACGGGCCCTCCAGTAGAACGTGGAGCACAAGGGCACAAGGGCTGAGCACACGCATCCTTGTCTCGGGTGCAGTTGCGGGGAGAGCAGTCAGTCTTTCACCACTAAGTGTGGCTAGCTGTGGGGTGTCACAGATGCCTCTCTCAGTTTAAGGGACCTTCTATTTCTAGTTTGCTAAGGAGTCTTTAATCAGGAATGAATATTGGATTTTGTCAGACATTTTTTTCTACTCTCAATAGAGCTGATAATTTGGTTCTTTTTTTAGTTTGTTAACATGGAATATGGTGACATTGATTGAGTTCTTTAAATATTAAGCCAACCTTGTGTTCCTGGGACAAACCTTGTATAGTCATTATGTATTTTTGTTTTTAAATGTCGTTGGATTTGATAAAGCTAATATTTTGCTTAGAATGTTTGTACCTGTGATACACTGGCCTATAGTGATATTGGTCTGTAGTTGTCTGAGTATCTTTGTCAGGTTTTGGCATCAAGGTAGTACTGGCCTCATAAAGTGAGTGGAGAACCATTTCCTTCTCTTCAGTTTTCTGGAAGAATTGGTTTAGATTTGATACCAATTTTTTCTTAAACATTAGTAGAACTCACCAGTGAAGACATCTGGGCCTGAGGTTTTCTCTATGAGAAACTACCTACATGTTCATGATCTATAACAGAATAGATATAGGCTATTTGTGTTACCTGGGTTTTTTTTTTTCCTTTAAATTTTTTATTGTTATGTTAATCAGCACACATTACATCATTGGTTTTTGATGTAGTGTTCCATGATTCATTGTTTGTGCATAACACACAGTGCTCCATGCAGTACGTGCCCTCTTTAATACCCATCACCAGGCCAACCCATCCCCCCACCCCGCTCCCCTCTAGAACCTTCAGTTTGTTTCTCAGAGTCCATCGTCTCTCATGGTTTGTCTCCCCCTCTGATTTACTCCCCTTCATTTTTCCCTCCTGCTATCTTCTTCTTCTTCTTCTTTTTTTTCTTAACATATATTGCATTATTTGTTTCAGAAGTACAGATCTGTGAATCAACAGTCTTGCACAATTCACAGCGCTCACCATAGCACATACCCTCCCCAATGTCTATCACCCAGCCACCCCATCCCTCCCACCCCCCACCACTCCAGCAACACTCAGTTTGTTTCCTGAGATTAAGAATTCCTCATATCAGTGAGGTCATATGATACATGTCTTTCTCTGATTGACTTATTTCACTCAGCAAAGCACCTTCCAGTTCCATCCACGTCGTTGCAAATGGCAAGATCTCATTCCTTTTGATGGCTGCATAATATTCCATTGTGTATATATACCACATCTTCTTTTTTTTTTTTTTTTTGTTCAAAAAAGAGTCACCGTTCAAAATTTATTTGGTATTTTAGTTGGTATGACACTTAGTTGGCTGCATTGTCTTTTTACGTTATATGGCCATGTACACTATATTCTGACATACATGGTACACAAAGTAAGATCCTTTAGGACAGTTATGCACGATACACTCAATATTGAATTTATACATTGGATCCCAGAACGTGACTGACTGGAAAAGATGGACTAGGAATGTCGGGTGTTGGGGGAAGGAACCCGAAGTGACAGAACACACAGTAAACACACATCTGGTGTGCAGAGCAACCTCAGTTCTGGCAGTGGAGCCTCTGAGACGGTGGGGCTAACTTACGTTAACCAATTTAGGGCTACAAAGACAGGTATCATCCAGTACCAGGATACAGCTGCAGGGTTTGGTGAACCATTCCTATTTGGAACTTTAGGAAACTGACCTTTTTCTTAGGCCATTTTAATATTACTTGAGTAACAGATCAGATAATAAGGACAATATACACAACCTCCAACTAAAATCCTGCTATAGTCTAGACAGTGAAGTGGTACATTAGAAAACTTTAAAACTGCAGCTCCTTTTGGATCCCCCAAAGTGTATCTGCACTCTTCTTCAAACGGGCCTCCTCCTCAGCAGTCAGAGTCACCTTCACAACATCTGAAATTCCATTCTGTCCCAAGATGCAAGGGACACTAAGGAAGACATCATCTTTAATTCCATAGAGACCCTTAATCATGGTGGAAATTGGATGCACCCGCCTAAGATTCTTCATTATACTTTCGGCCAGATCTGCCACAGACAGTCCAATGGCCCAGGAGGTGTAGCCTTTCAGTTTGATCACCTCATAGGCACTGTCAACCACCTGTTTGTGAACCTCTTTCCACTGTTCCTTATCTGCATCAGTGCCTAAGTCAGGGTGCAGATTCTTCAGAGAGACACCAGCAACGTTCACTCCACTCCATACAGGCACACTGGAGTCTCCATGCTCCCCAAGGACCCACCTGTGACAGCTTAATGGGTGAACTCCCAGTCTTTCCCCCATTAGGTAACGGAACCGGGCTGAATCCAGATTGCAACCACTTCCAACAACACGGTTTTTGGGAAAGCCACTTACCTTCCAAGCCATATAGGTCAAGATGTCCACTGGATTGGAAACGACAAGCAACTTGCAGTTTGGGCTATATTTTACGATATTAGGAATGATGAACTTGAAGATGTTCACGTTACGCTGGACCAAACTAAGACGGCTTTCTCCCCCTTGCTGACGTGCCCCAGCTGTGATAATAACCAGCTTGGAGTTTGCAGTCACATTATAATCTTTGCCAGAGACAATTTTTGGTGTTCTAAGGAAAAGGCTGCCGTGCTGGAGATCCATCATCTCTCCCTTCAGTTTGTCTTCCATGACATCAACAAGAGCAAGTTCATCTGCCAAGTCCTTCATTAAGATACTGATGGCACAAACCATGCCAACAGCACCAACCCCAACAACTGTGATCTTATTCTGGGGGGTATGTTCTTCCTTAAGAAGATTCTGAATCAGCTGATCTTTGAGAGTTGCCATTTTGGACTTAGAACCAAAAGGAATCGGGAGTGCACGTCGGGCGGGCGGGCGTCAGCGGCGCGTGAGGTTGAATCCGGACTCGGCGGCAGCGGCTCCAACTATACCACGTCCTCTTTATCCATTCATCTGTCGGTGGACATCTTGGCTCTTTCCACAGTTTGGCTATTGTGGACATTGCTGCTATAAACATCGGGGTGCACGTACCCCTTCGGATCCCAAATTGGTATCTTTGGGGTAAATACCCAGTAGTGCAATTGCTGGATCGTATGGTAGCTCTATTTTCAACTGTTTGAGGAACCTCCATACTGTTTTCCAGAGTGGCTGCACCAGCTTGCATTCCCACCAACAGTGTAGGAGGGTTCCCCTTTCTCCGCATCCCCGCCAACATCTGTCGTTTCCTGACTTGTTAATTTTAGCCA